TGAGCACTGAACAGGACCAATAGTGACAAGTGGAACTACGAGCAGGAAAGCAATAACAAACCAAACCAATAAGATACCATGGAATATGCTTTATTTGCTCAGGAAGAAAGGCAATGGATGATGGAGAAGTGATTCACTCGTCCTTGTCTGATCCTATGACCGGTTAATGCAATGCGTCGTTGGTTTTGGTTTTCAGTCTAGTAAAAATTCGTTTGTTTAAAGTTAATTTATGAAAAACCATTTACATTTAAATATACTTTTTTTAAAAAAAATTCAGTACGACAAGATTAAAAATTATTTAGATAACATAAGTAATATGAAAATCGGCCTCCAATTCACATTTTAAAAGTAAAACTATAAAAATCTACCCTGTTGAACGGACTCTGGAATCCCAGCAAACATGGATCACTATTACAAAACAACACTAATAAATCCAAATTGAAACCACAAAGACACTAGTAATTTAGGTTAAATGGCAAATCAATTCCTAAATTATAGGTTCATGAGTGTCTAAATTGTAAACCTATTTTTATGTAATATTTTCCTTCAACTCTTAAAAATGGTATAATATCTCTTTTATCATTAATAAAAATTAACTTTAATTGTAAGTTGACCATAAAAAAATAGAAAAGGATTAAGAAAATTTTCTTAATATTTTTTTGGTAATTTTTTGAGTCATTATCTATAATTTTTTGTGATTTTTTGGTCATTTTTTATAGTTTTTGAAATTCCATTTTATTATTTTTTGATTAACTAATGATCAAAATTATTTTTTGTTAATGATGATAGAAAAGATATTATATCATTTTTAAAAATTGAATATGTATGTTGCACATAAAAAAATTAAAATTTTAAATATTCTTGAATCTACAAGTTATCATATAACCTATCATTTTAATTATTTTATTTACATGGTGTTAATTTTGAGTCCCAACAACAAAAAAGATTGATGTGGATGGGTAACATCATATATAATGTGCTGAGTGGTTGGGAGGTGGCTGACGTTGGACTTCGCAGGTATGCCACTCGGATTCTTGCCTTTCCCTGTCCGTTTTGACGTCCCTAAAGTGTTTTCTAAATGCATTAACCCAAAAAAAGAAAAAAGAAAAAAGAAAAAGCTGCATCCTCACAAAAAACATCGCATCTTCCTTTATTTCTTTTCCTTTTCGCCTTTCAGTAGGAAAATGGGCAAACCAAAAAAGAAAAATACTCAGTGTTCACACTTAATCTCTTGAAGTCATGTCTCGTCACCTTGAGCCTGACTTGAATGAAACAACACCACAATATCCTGTCCATTCACTGTACAATGTACAATACACCCTTCTCCGTTACAATGACACAATATGAGTGTTCCATTTTTTCGCCTCGATCCATTTTGGATCGGGAGAGTGATCTAATAACTCAATGAATGTCTTTTATTACACAATAACAAGGGGTCGATTTAACTCAACAATTCTCAAAAGTTTTCTCATACTTTTTAACAAATATAAATAGGTTAAATGATAAATTCATTTTTAAATTATATATACAAGAGCATTTGAAACTATAAACTCATTTTAATATAATGTTTGCTCTTAACATTTTAAAATGATGCAATATATTCATTGTAGTTAACAAGTGTTAACTTTAAGTATTAGTTGAAAGTAATTATAGAAAATAATGACAGATTTACATGTACTTTAGCCACCAACATAAAAATAATACTCCCCTATTCTTTAAAAATATAAGTCAGTTTTAACCAAATCTCACCCTCTATTAAAGTAATTATTTATTTTTAAACTAATTCTTTTTTTATATTTACCCCTATTAAATACCCTAAAATAAATATAAAGTCATTCATCAATAGTACCTGTCTTTGAAACAAAAGTAATAATTACACTTTAAAAGACTAAAAATGTCTTATATTTTTAAATATTTAACTCCTTAAAAATATCTTATATTTTTAAACAGAGGGAGTATTATTTATAAGTTCCATTTATATGAAAAAAAAGTACACACAATTCCCTTAAAAAAATTTGGTCCAAAATTTGCCCCTACTAACTAAATTTTTTTAGTTCCGCCACTAAAAGAAAAGGACATACAAAATTGTAGAAAAATGATCAATAATTTTTTTGTCATTTTCCCATAATTCTTTGGATCTTTTTAGTCTTTTTGTGTAATTTTTTGGGGCACTTTTTATGTAAATTTTGAGCTCTATTTATGTTCTGACCAGCAAATAAAGTTAACTTCTAGCAATATTAGAAACAATATTGCAGTTTTTTTAAAAGTTAAATGAGAACGTTACATTAAAAATGAATTTCAAGTATAAAGTGCTCTTAAATTTATAATTTATATGCAAATTTTTCATTTAATCTAACATAAAATTTCAAATTTTTTGAAGGAATAATACATGTGAGAAGTATTTTGATCATGATATTTATTTTAATTTTTTTGAGAGAAGTATAATTTGATAATTTTTAGGTGTTGAAGAAATTCAATGATTATGATTAAAACATTTATTGAATGAATAGATTTAAATCACTTATTGAATCATAATCCACTTCAATCTCACGCTCTTGCCAACCCTAGATTGTATTTGTGCGCAAATTTTATTATTTGTTATTATTAATTATAATCGCACAAGTATTTGAATTAATGAACTAATTTGATTTTTTTTAATCACCGTCAAATTGCACTCTAATCTTCACCCCAATCAAAAGGCATTATTGAACAGAATATTTCTTGGTTAAGTGCAAATATGATAAGATTATTAAATTTTAATAATTTTATAAGTCATGAACGGGATTTATTTCGTTAAATTTGGTGTATTATATTGGAAAAAAATAATGTTGAATCAGGCGAACCAATCAACATATTAACATATTAAAAAATATTTGAGCAGTGTACTTTTTTATCATTGTTTTGAAAACAAACTATTTGGTTGCTCTTCTTTTTTTTAACAAACAATTCATAAATTCAAATACTCACATGCAGTTCAATCAAGAAAGATTTTTTTTTTTAATAACTTTTATCATACCAGCTTCTCTTGCAAATTAGGCACAAACATTTTCCTTGTGAATTTATCCCATCCATTTAGGGGGTCTAGTTTAGCTGATTAAGAAAGTTGATTTAATTTATCATAAAACTTTAAGTTTGAATCCTAAAATATGTGGCCTCGTTAACCGTAAATTAAAATATTAAATGCATTCTTGAGATATCAATGGGATTGTTGTTGGCAATAATAATTCTATATGAAATTCAGTTTAGTTTAAATAGGTGATGGTAATATCTTCTAGTTTTTTTTTTTATTAGGATGATAGGAGATGGAATATTTTTTTTAATCACATTCCAGCTACATATGAAAAAGAATTAATTCGCAAATCATCATCTATCATCTAACAAGATGTGGCTGTCTGCAGCTTGCATTGGTCCCAGTCTTTTAATCTTCCAACTGTTGACCCACGACCCAAGTCAGTCTAAGCTAGAAACTAAAATTATAGCATGAGTCGAGTTTTAATTATATGTTGTTTGTTATGTGAAATTATGAACCCAACCTAATCTGATAAAATACATCCAGTTAGGTAGACGTGCCCTCATTACAACCTTAACTTTGGTAGCTTTTAATGTAAAAGCAATATAAAATAATATATACTCATTTCATTTAAAAATATAAAGCATTTTTTAAAAATTAAATATTAAAAAATGTAAAATAATTTTTAATCTTTCGAGATGTAATATTACTTTTTTTAAAAGTATTTTTTTTATGAATGACTTTATATTTATTATAAGATGTTTAATAGGAGTAAATATGAAAATATAAAATTAGTTTAAAAGTATGTAATTATTTTATTGAATGTAAGATTTAATTAAAAATACTTTATATTTTTGAATGAATTGAGTATATTTCTTATGTTTTTACAGTATTACTATTTCTCTGAAACTTTTTAAGGAGTAGCTTTTTTAAACGTTAATGCTGTAAAATAAATATCCTTCACAATTAACGCCAGCACTTTTTTGGGGGGGGGGGAATTAACCCCCTGAACTTGAAACAAATGTATTTAAGCCTTCAATGCTAAAAATTATTATTTTCATTAGAAAATAATTTCAACCTCTCATAAAGATAAAATATTCAGCCAGAACTCACACGTGGACTTTTTGAGGAGTTAACTGCTTGAGAAATATACTTGATCGGCTTTTCAAAAGCATGATTATTTAAACCAAGCAAGCTCCAAATTTACATGTTCTGCGATAGTGCCCTAATAGACTAACACAGTAACAATGAAAGTGTGCAAAAAATATGAAAGATCTGTATTTAAAAAGAGAGAGGGAGAATGACAATTAAGACCTTATAAAAAATTAAAAAAGCTAACATTAAATCAAGACCTCTTTGCTGGTAAAAAAAAAAAAAGACCTCTTCAAATGTCTAGGAATGATTTAAATTTTAAACTCATATTTAATATATTATAGATCCTAAACAATTAAATTTAAAACAAGTTCACTCCACCATTAAATAAAAACAAACACTCATTATTTGTTTTAAAAATGAAATTCAATGTGTAATTTTTTTCAAAGGATAGTAGAAAAGAAAGGGAGAGTCGAATTAGAGAAAAATTGCACATCTAGCTCATTTTTTTTAATGAGAGATGTTTGTTTTAATTTAGTAGTGGGGTGAAATTGCTCTAAATTTAATTATTTAGAGTTTATAATGTACAAAATATAAGTTTATGATTCAAATTGAACAGTAATTCTAATATTTGTATAAAGTCTTACTAATTCATTTGTTTTCAATAACATATTCTTTAAGTTTATTTATTACAATTACAACAAGGCAATCTAATCCGGATTTATTCATTTCAATCATTTATTTAGGGCAACACAATATATAAACTTTTTTTTTTTTTTCAATTTTTTCCCCTGGAGCTAGCGACATGGCACGCACCCACAGACAGTGGCTTGTGATTACACACTAGTTTACACCTAAGCTCCTGAAAGTCATATTTGGAGACGCAGGCCCGCCTGTGCAGTATTATTTTTCTTGCTATCCAAGCTCGTTCGTTCGCTCCTCTTGCCTTCGCAGACTTTTGTTAGCTTTCTCTCTAAGAAATATTACCCTATTTATACTCTCCCCACCACGAATTCCTCACTTTCTTGCTTCTCCTCAGTTACAGTTTCTCCATTTTCATCACTGATCTTGCTGGATTCTACGGCATGCATCTCTACAATGCATGGCTTCCGCCGCCTGTGGCTGCTCAGACCGTCAAGGAGCGCGACTCCTTTGCCCGCGTCATCAGCGCCGTCAAGGCCTCCTACAGCCCTGATGATCCCGATTCGGTCTTCTCAACCCTCAGATACATCTCCGTCCTTGACCTGTTAGTTCTTTACTTTTCTTCAATTTGTGGTTTAAATCATTCATTTTCTTTTCTTTTCTTCTCTCAGTGTTGATGTTGCTTCGACCCAATCAATTTATGCAATTTCACTACATTTAATTCGTTCTTGCGACTTAATTTTTCTTCTTGCTTGTTCAACTGCTACTTGAGCGGCAGCGGGTGCTGTGTTAGTTGTGTAAGGATTTTGAATTGAGGGATACTGATTCTTGGCGTGATCAAAGACTATCAAGATGGGATAGGGAAGTGCTTGGTAGATATCCGTTTCAACGTTAACCGAAGGGCGTGATTTTGTGAGATCAATGGCCATGTTATGACTTTAGAAGCAAGTTGCATTATGCAGATGGCTCGACTGAAATAATTGGGGTGGGGAAGGGGGATGGCTGGGACATATTGTTTCTACTCTTTATTCTTTGTTCACCTTTTCTGGTATTTTGTCCTTAATAATCTCGACTGTTTTGAGGCTATTTATTTGTGCAAAAGAGCAATCCGATAAAGAATGCTTACAGTTAACTACAATTTCATATATGAGTTGCACAATGATTTTCAATAGCTTATAGTCCCTTTTATTCATGACGGTAGCTATTGGCTGTGCAATTTAGTTTCTTATTTCTTGCCTGCTATGATATTGATGGGAACCAATTCCAGAATTAGCATTCAAACACATAATAATCCACAGTGTGCAAGTCTAATGATTAAGCTACAAACAGTTATGAAAATGAAGGAAAAGAACGTGGATAATACAAACAGACACATAAAAGGACCTCTAGCATTCGAGATCCTAGAGAACTCTCCTCACAATTGCCAAATTCTTACTTGCCTCTCACCGACCTTCACTCCCTATATAGATATTCCTGCTGATAGAAGAATATTCACTCTCGCTCTCTTGCACTGCATTTCACACCTCACAAGCCTTGTGACTTCGCCTTGGTCCATTAACTATGGGCTGTCAGATATCTTGTAATGTTCCATCTGGTAATGATTTTATCTAAAAATAATTTACAACTGAACCAAGTGCCAACTTTTTCACTCATTGCTTGTTTCTGAATGGAATTAGTGGATGGATTGAATTCTAATTTTTCTGTTGGTCATGCAGTTTCTTGAAGGCGAAGAGTGAAGTATCTTTGGAAGATGTCCATGCAGTTATTGAGATGGGCCTAGAATTGTTTCACATGGCCCGTAATAAACTTTATGCTCAGGTTTGTCGCATGAATTTTGTTGTTTTCTTTTCTCACATGCCCTCATTTCTTAGCTGGTTATCATATTTTTGTCTATTAGGTTAGATGGGGAAATTTAATAGTCAGACTTCTCAACAAGTACAGGAAAAAAATTACACTAACTGTTGAGTGGCGGCCTTTGTATGATACATTGGTTCTCACACATTTCAGCAGGTACAAATCCAAATTCTTGCTGTTTCAGCTTTAATTTGCTTAAATTTATCTTCTAGTAACCTTAATGTGTGATGCCAATCTCTGTAACCTATGATTTATTGATAAACTAAAATTGAAGACAAGGCAAAAGCAACAAATTCTGAGGATTCTCACCATCATACCACAAGAGATGCAAGTCATGTTTGGCATTTATTTCCATGTTATCTTTTTGAATTTCTACTATTGTATCCCTAAAGTCTGAACTATCTTGTATGTGGTAATTGATTTATAGATATTAAATCTGAAATATTGGGGCATTGATTTTGGAGTCTAATACTGTTGCAGAAGTACAGGGCCAGAAGGTTGGAGATTAAGACAGCGCCATTTTGAAATCATAACTTCCCTTGTTCGTTCTTGCCGAAGGTTCTTTCAATCGGGCTCTGCTGTTGAAATATGGTCTGAGTTTAGGTGAGTGCTCTGACATGATTTAGCCATAATGTCAAGTGATCTTGATTTGTGAGCGATTCTCTTTTAGTGTTACTAAATTGATGTTAGGCTAAAATAAAGTAAATGATCAATTATCAATGTTTCAATCAAGCGGAATCATAGCTGCATGCTTGTTTAGATATTATATTCTATTTTTTTTGGTCAATATTATATTCTGTTTTAATGACTTTAAAAGAAATGAGTGAATATTGGACTTAGGCATGGAATTTTGGATCAATGGGCCTTTATTGGAAGTATGAATTTTTTTCTCACCATCTGCTGTAGCTTTATAGAGTTTTTGTAATTGAAAATATATCAATTTAGTTATTTCAGGCTCAATCTTCATGCATACTTATATGGTTTTTTTATAGCTAAAATGTTTGAGCTATGAGTGGATACGTGGTCACTGTGAAGGGAATTGCCATTAATGATACTGCTTCATAATTTTGGCGTCTGTAATTTTTATAGGAGTTGATAAACTTAATAAAATATGTTGAAAATTATATATTTGGACCAATCAAATTATTGGCTTGCCGTGGCGGTTATTTATATTTTTCTTGGGCAAGAATGAACTGAAGCATTTTTACTCTTAATCCTTTTGTTTTGGTTCACGGACAATTTGTAGATCATTATTGCAAAACCCTTGGCATAATTCCGCCTTCGAGGGATCTGGCTTTGCAAGACTCTTTCTACCTACAAACTTGGACAATCAGCCATTCTTCTCACAGTAAGAAGCGCATGTGTGCACATTTGAGGATTTCATTCGTTGTGGTTACTCACTGACTTGTTGGGATATTAAGTTTTATTATTGCCCTGTAGTGATTGGATTGAAGAGTGTATAGAGCTGTGGGACTCTATACCAAATTGCCAATTTTGGAATGGTCAATGGGCAGCTATTATAGCTCGTGTTGTAAAAAATTACCACAATGTTGATTGGGAGTGCTTCTTGCCTGCACTTTTCGCTAGATACTTAAACATGTTTGAGGTAAGCATATAGATTCTTCAAGCAATGTTGCCATTACTTTTTTTTTTTCAGACGTTTTAACGGTTGGTGCAGAGTGATGAAATTTATGAGGAAGTAGATGCATATTGTTGGTCTCAAAGTTGATTTTAACAGTTGGTGCAGACTTGATTTGAAGCTTGTGTGAACATTTTTTAAAATTAATTTTGGTAACCTTATTTTTAATTGCAAATTAGATTTTAATAAGCCAGCATTTAAAAGATGTTATATGACAAAACTAGTTATGTGTGTTTTTGGCATTGTGGCATGAATAAATTCTTGCATTTGACAATTTCTTGGGCTTCACTATTATGATTATTCAGTATATCTGGTGGTTTTCCTGCTGCATTTGGCATATAGTATGTTTCCTTAAGTTTTCTCCTAACATTTTTTGCTTTATGAATTTTTTTTGGGGTCAATTTTTCATGTCTTTTTTTTTTGGTTATAGAATTTTACAAATGTTTTAATTGAGCTTTTGTTTGCGTAAGTTTATGTCATATGTGATGCAAAACTTTATAATGTTATCAGAAGCAATCCCATACACTCAAATACTTTTACTTCTGCAGGTTCCAGTTTCAAATGGAAGTGGATCATACCCCTTTCCATTGGATGTCCCAAGAAACACAAGGTTCTTGTTCTCCAACAAAACTGCTACCCCTGCAAAGGCTATTGCAAAATCAATTGTGAGCTGATAAGCTTTGGTTTGTTTTTATCATTGTCTTGTAGCAGGTTTCTGACTTTAAGTGACTTTTCTGATACTGCAACTACAGGTGTATCTATTAAAACCTGGTAGTTCAGCACTGCAGTACTTTGAGAAATTGGTCAACATCTTGGAACAGTTAGTATATACATATTTTATTGCTCCAGGCATGCCTTCTTTTCAATTTAGTCATTTCCACAGTTGCTTACTGGCATCAATTCTTGTAGATATTATCACCCCTCAAATGGTGGCCGATGGACTTACTCATTGTCGAGATTTTTGTTCCATTTGGTGATTCAATTCCAGAAGCGTCTACAGCATGAAAAAGAGTAAGAATCAATGTAAAATTGGCATCTGCTCTGCTTATTCTGTGTTGTATTTTATGCAACTAATAATGTTCTGTATAGGAGTGTAAATGATGGCAAACAATCTGAACAACATCTTGGAGGATCAGAGAGAGCGTTCTTTGTTAATTCAGTGCTTAAGTTAATTGATCGAGGTCAATACAGCAAGAATGAGCACCTCTCTGAAACTGTTGCTTTTGCAATTCCTGTATTGTCATATGTGGAGCCTTCGTTGGTTCTGCCATTTGTGGCCTCTCGGTTCCGAATGGCTCTTGAGACGGTTAGTACAACTATGTGAATTTCTTCTTTGGTTGGAATACACAAGTTATACATGTGGTGAATGGCTTATCCGAAGCATTAGTTTTTTTTTTTCTTGATAGAAAATGTCACACGATATGCTGCTCAATTCTGATTAGCATTTTTCTTGCCCTTTACCTTGGTTCTGATAAAATTCTTTGTCTGGCCAGATGACTGCCACCCACCAGTTGAAAATTGCTGTTACGTCTGTAGCACTTGTTGGGCGTTCATTATTTTTTACCTCTCTATCAGCATCCTCTTCAAAATCAGTTGATCTTGGTGGTGGGGATGACACATTCATGGATCTTATGGCAGTTTCATTGTCCAATGCATTGCTTGGCATGGATGCTAATGACCCTCCAAAAACATTGGCTACCATGCAACTAATAGGTTCCATCTTTTCCAATGTAAGGGCAAGGATTTCTAAGCTGTGTTATGAAGTGGCTTACATCCCATTGAAAGAAAAAAAATTAATCTATTTACCCTGTAATGGCAGTTGGCTTTACTGGATGATAAAATTGATGATTTGTCATTTATGCCAATGATTCACTTTTCTGAGTGGCTGGATGAGTTTTTGTGCCGTCTATTTTCCTTGCTTCTTCACCTGGAGCCAAGCAGTGTTATGTAAGTTGATGTTGGAAAATACCCCATTATCTTGATCATAAATTTAATCAGCAATAGTTTAGCTACTGTTTCCTTGGATTTTAAGCAAGTTCAGTTTTTTACATCTATAATTGGACAAATAATTTCTGTTGTGTTAGAAATGAAGGTTTACACTCATCAGCAGCATCAGGAACCTTTCTGGTTAATGATGGTCCATACTACTTTTGTGTGCTTGAAATCCTGCTTGGAAGGCTTTCAAAACCACTGTATAATCAGGTATCGACGTCCGGCTGCGTATTGCTGATATTTCTTCATGCTAGAATTTCTGGGCGGATTTTTAATTTTATAATCTTGAGAAATATCTAACAGGCTTTGAAGAAAATTTCCAAGTTTGTAAGGACGAACATTCTTCCTGGTGCTATCGGAGAGGTTGGACTTCTTTGTTGTGCATCCGTTCATTCAAACCCGGAAGAGGCAGTTAGTCAAGTTGTTGAGCCAATTCTATTATCTGTAATATCTTCTTTAAAAGGAACACCACGTACAGGATTTGGGGGAGGAGGGACTTTCAATGCTTCTGCTTCATCCAAGGTACCTTGTTTTATCAGAATTGGTTATCTTTGTTTTCAATGTTGTGGTTGGATTCTCTTCAAAGTTGAGAGCTTTTTTTCCTAGGTTAAATCCACACTGTCACCAGCTCTTGAGGCTGCAATCGAGTATCAACTAATGATATTGTCAGTTGGCATCACATATGGAGGCCTGGCACTTCTTCGCTGCAAGGATCAATTGAAAGAAGCCATCTTCTTGGCTTTTGATTCACCTTCTTGGAAGGTCTTACTTTACTGCATTTGATTAATGCTTTTGAAGAAGTTTGCCATGTTCTCTGCTGTAGTGTTGAATATGTACATAATAAACATGAAATTTGTTAGTTCTAGAGTTCCTGGTTGCATATATAAACTCTGTTATTGTTTCTGGGTTAACGACAGGTTAATGTGGCTGCTGATCATCTTCTTCGATCCCTTCTTGGGAGTCAGATTCACTATTATCCAGTTGATCAGTATAAGTATGTATACTGTCTGCAGTTTGCTTGCTATTGCTATTGTTGTTACAAAGTTTTGTCTGTGATAGAAATGTTATAATTTTTGTTTTCTAGGTGCATTCTTAGTCACCCTGATGCTGCTGTTCTTGAAGAATGGATCAGCACAAAAGATTATTCCAATGATGAAAGATTGATTCCAAAATGGCATATTCCATGTGATGAAGAAGTACAGTTTGCAAATGAGCTTTTAGACATTCACTTTAAGTCAGCTTTGGTTGATCTTTTGAATATATGCCAAAATAAAATCCATACTGATCAAGGTAAAACATGCTAATTTCTCCCAAGTACAATTTCCTATTTGAGTAATACTTTGATTGAGTCGGAAGACTAATGATAATTTTAGATGTTCATTTTGTGGAAATTCTGCACGTGGCCCCTGAGAATTTTGATTGTCATTTCTGCTTTTATGCGTCACTTTCTAATCTCAAGATATACATTTCATGAAAAAAAAAGTTTGGATGTTTGTGCTTTTTGAAGGAAGTTCTTGTTATGAATATATATTAAAGCATTGTGACGCACACGGAATGTAATTTATTGTGCAGGAGATGAGAAAGAGCACTTGAAAGTGACTCTTTTACGTATAGTATCATCATTGCAAGGTCTATTTTCTTGCTTGCCTGATTTCCTTCCTGCCTCCAGGAATGGAATGGCTGAGGATTCAGACCATACTTTTTTGCTTGCTGGAGCGACTGGTTCTACTGTTGGTAGTACTGCTCTGCGAGAAAAGGCTACTGAGGTTGTTCATGAAGCATGCAAGTAAGGATCGTTGTTAAATTCTTTTTTCCCTATTTGTTTAGCCTATATACTTGCAATTATGATGATTTCCATTAATCTTTTTTTTTTGTTCTGTTAAAGATATGTACTGGAAAAAAAATCTGATGACAGCAGCTTGCTGATACTAATTATTCGTGTTATGGATGCTTTAGGAAACTATGGTAATGAGCTCCTTCTGGATGAATTTCAACATATTATTTCAAATCCAATTTCTCTATGCACAGCTGAACTCATCCTGTCCATTTTCTTTTCTGACATAGGTAGTTTGGAGTTTGATGAATGGTCTAGTCACAGACAGGCTTGGAAGTGGGAATCTGCGGCAATTAGAGAACCTCCCATTAATTTCATTGTATCATTTCATTCTAAGGGAAAGAAAAGGTGATACAACTTTGATTCAGTCTCTTGATCACGGCAGTTATTCATGAAGAACTTGGATTAAAACCTTGAATTTTACTTTTGTTCCAGACCTAGGTGGGCACTTATTGACAAAGCATTCATGCACAGTACATGGAGATCTTCACAAGCATCCTATCATCTTTACCGTATGAGTGGGAATTTCTGTCCATCAGATCATTTGACTCTTTTGATGGATGATCTTTTAAATCTCTCTATGCATAGCTACGAAACTGTCCGCGTGTGAGTAAACAAGACATCCATGGCTAATATCTTACTGATCAAATTTATTTTGCACATTGTGATGTTTCACTCAGGATTGGGATTGTTGAAGTTGATCAGATTATTACTATATCTAATGAACCGAGAAAGGATAAAGAATTCATTTTAAGGAGCACAGATAGCCAAATGAAATCAGTTTAAAGAATTGGCTTTTGGACTAATTTATTGAATTTAGCGTGATGTCTTGAATTGTCCACTATGGAAAAAAATGACTGCCAAATTGTGTGATAAAATCTAGAAAGCATGGACAAACTTGTTCTTAGGCATGTCATGTGTCTGATGTTGAGCCACCACAACGTTGACAGTCATCTGATATGTATGGACATATCAATATGAAATTTTTTTCCTTTTCAGCTCAAACATGTAACAAATGAGGCTTGGATGTAAATCACGGCTCAGACATGGATGACCTTGTAAAAAATAGGACAGGACCAAGAAAAAGAAAGATAGAATGATTGACTAGAGACCCCATCTTTAATGAGATAGTTCTTTGTTTTTTTTTCCTTCGGGGCAAATGCGTACATGAATAATATCAAGTATATCCCTGTTATCATTACTCATGAGTGATGGTCTTATTTATTTCATTTTTTTTATTTAAGGGCACTAGCCGCCAGAGATATTTCTCATCTCAAAGATGACATTTCTCATTAATTCCTTTTTAACATTTCATTCCTTTCTGCATACCGAACAGGTTGTTAGGTACTCCTGCATTCCAAGTAGCTTATAAATAATTGTATGTGTGAGTAGAGTCGTATTTTTTTAGTTTGCACAAGGCAAATGGAAAGCTGGAAACTAATTTTGGGAGCTTAAAGCTGCTGGTCAGACTAGTCTATTCAGTGGCTGCAATGTCTGACTTTAACTGATCTTTGAAAGTCTTTAATAAATGGTGTCTAAGAAGTATAGGATGCTCTTATTTGTGTGTCTTGGTATGTTGATATTTATTTTGATCCTCTGTCCTTTGGTTGCCTCGTCATAGCATTGGTATGCATTTTAGTGTTATCTAACATGCTTCATTCATGCCATTGCAGTTCTTATAATGCCTGATCAATTTATTTACATATTGTCAGGTTTGCAGGAAAATCTCTTATTAAGATGATCAAGAGATGGCCTTCTATGATTTCAAAGTGTGTTATCACACTTACTAACAACTTGCGCAACCCCAATGCAGAGGAATATGCAGTGCTGGGTTCTTGTTCAGTTCTTTCCTCACAAACAGTCCTCAAGCATTTGACAACGGTGATTGTTGAGAATTTGTTTGTATTTTTTATATTCTTTTAGATGGTGAATAAAGTTTATTTTTCTGACTTTTTTTGTTATGACAGGATCCAAAGGCATTCTCTTCATTTATCCTGGGGATTCTTTCGAGGTATTCACATTTTCTTTGCTTCTTGGTTTTAATTAATTTTTGTGTACCATGTAGGATAATAATTTCTTCTCATTTTCTTGAAGTTCACATCATGAATCTTTGAAAGCCCAGAAAGCAATCAATGAGGTAAACTTTATTCCGTGTCACATGATTACTGTTCTTTGTGCACTTTTTCTTGTTTAACATCGCATTACTTTGTACAGCTCTTTGTAAAATACAACAACCACTTTCCCGGAGTATCTAGAAGCTTTTTCAGGATGTCAGATAATCACACTAGTGGACCAGATTTCTCGGATTTGGTTTCTCAGATTGGCTCTATGAGTTTTGATTCTACTGGCTTGCATTGGCGGTATTTTTCTAAATATTTGTCTTTTTTTCTTTCTTTCTAGGTGCATTTTTAAAAAATTTATTTTAGTTTGCATGACCTTCCACAAGTTCAAGAGATTATGCCTTCTGTTCTTAGATTCTTGAACATTTTAACCATAGGATTATTATCGTTGTTTTTTCAGGTATAATTTGATGGCTAACAGAGTTTTGCTTCTGTTGGCTTTGGCCTCTAGAAGTCACCCAAGTTCATCATCTAAAATCCTGAGTGAAACTGCTGGTATGCATAGAATCTTGTATGCTTTGCATCTTTCTCTTGTTCTTTTATTTATTCCCTTGTTTGAAGTGAATTTTACTGACATGTCCCATGATCTTTGTGCCGTCACTTGTTTAGGACACTTTCTCAAGAATTTGAAAAGTCATCTTCCTCAAACAAGAATACTAGCAATTTCAGCTCTTAATACACTGTTAAAGGAATCTCCTTATAGGCTGTCTGCTGGTGAGAAATCTGTTATTTCTAACGATTTGCAAGGCAATGTCAAGTCATCTCTAGAAGGAGCTTTAACTCAAACTTTTCAGGAAGAGGGGTTTTTCAATGAGACATTAAATAGTCTCTCTCATGTTCATATAATAAGTGATAATGAAACTTCATCTACAAGAGGAGGTCCTGGTGATTCTAGTTTCCAAAGCCTAGCAGACAAAGCCATAACTCGATTCTACTTTGAATTTTCATCTTCTTGGCCACGTACGCCCAGTGATACCTTTATACAACGTGATTGCTTTTACCCAAATTTTGCACGCATTTTTAAGCGGCTAGTACAAGAATGTGGCATGCCTGTTATATTGGCTCTTAAAGGTGCATTAGATGAGTTTACAAGTGCCAAGGAGAGGTCTAAACAATGTGTAGCTGCTGAAGCACTGGCAGGTGTGCTACACTCTGATATTGATGGTCTATCAGGAGAATGGGATAGTTGGCTGATGCCCCAGTTACAGAATATTATTCTAGCACAATCTGTTGAATCACTTCCTGAGTGGGCCTCTTGCATACGATATGCAGTTACTGGTAAAGGAAAGTATGGCACTACGGTTCCTCTATTGAGGCAGAAAATTCTAGATGCTATGATGGCATCCTTACCTCCAACAGTAGCGACCACTGTAATAGTTAAGCGATATAATTTCTTGGTAGCTGCACTTGTTGAAGTATCCCCACAGAATATGCCAATAACTGAAATCCAGCTCCACAATACACTTCTGAAGGAAGTGCTTGATAATATGAGCCACTCATCATCCCAAGTAAGAATTCCGTTCACTCCAGATGTTCTGGTAGTCATCTATTGAATTTTGAAGTCCTATGAATCTTATTTGATTTCATAGAACTTGATCTCTCCCTAGGATCCATCCACGATGGGAGGATAAATGGTATTTCTTTTTCTTTTTCTTTTTTCTTTTTTCTTTTGTTGATAACAGAGGATAAGTGGTATCACATAGGCATATAATGTTTTGATTCACTTAATATGTTTGACTGCATAAACGAACTTACATAACACCTTTAAGAGCATATTTTTTGTTATAGAAGCCATGCTGATATGCTGCAAATAACACACATCAGTATTAAATTAATTCATACTTTTTGTATGCTTTTAAACCTTGTTTATGCAAGTAGAAACGCACTAAGGCTTTTCTGACAGAATTAACATCCTAAAGGATTACATTCTAATTTGCATTAACTACATAATGTGCTCTGTATTGTCTGTATACAATGATGTTAATATTACTGATCAGAAATCCGTATGACTTGACTGCATCATTGAAAGCTCTTTCAGAAACCATTTCAGAAGGGGAAAATTGACATTTTGTCTATTGAACAGGTGAGGCAAGTTCTAGGTATCACCCTCACAATATTGTGCTCTAACATTCGGCTATATCATTCAAGTCATCGTGATAGTGCATATGATGAGAGACAAAGCAATCCTGATAATTTGTTAAAAGATGCAAGATGGGTTCAGTTTCTTCCAGAGCGAGCTGCTGAGGCAGTTGTGAACATTCAGGATACTACCCAGTCAGACAAAGGGGTGAATTCTACGGATATAAATCTTGAAAATGGACTTCTGGATGGTGATTCACAAGATGATATAAAATGGATGGAAACGGTACTCATGGCTGCAGGCACACAGTTTTGGTTTTACTTATAAATCTTTTGCTGATCGTTTTTCTATTTTCCATTTATGTAGTTATTTTACTTCATCTTCTCATCATTGAAGTCTGGGAGATCCTCATATCTGCTTGATGTGATTGCGGGGCTTCTTTATCCTGTTATTTCCCTGCAGGTTTGCCCCATATTTGTCTCTAATTATAATTATAATTAAATATTTCTTTTGATTCTTAGTGCTATTTGTTTCATTATAGCTACTTAATATTCTTTTGTGTGTTTCCAATCGTGTCAAGTCTTAGGACATTGAGCTTTGACATCATTGTATGGAGGCCAATTTGGTTGTTAGAAACCCTTTGTATTTTTGTAGGAAAAAGCCCCAATTTTTGTATGATCTACCTTTTGTTATAGAGCAGGCTTACATGTGAATATTTGTGGTTGGCATTTTTTTACCTGGATCATTACTTTTTGTTCTTTACCCCTCTCTGGTTAAACATTTTGGGGCTTTAGTCTCTGTCAATTCTATACCTGACTTGCAGCTCCTTTTATATTCTTTCTGCAATTGAATATTGAGCCACTCTTTGCATTTTAGGGTATGGCTGGCGGTTGGCCATTATTCCTGTGATACAATACAAATGCTGAATCAGATTTTTTGGCCTCCCTTAAATTAGTTTTACCAAGAGCACATTATTTCTTGGGTTAGATGTAGGATGGTATATATATCCGACCTGGGCTTATTATTCTAGTCAATGTAAATAGACCATACAGCCAAATTTAGAATATCAAGGCTTTTGTAATATTAAACTCTGTTCATATTTAATGACCATTCCCTCCCTTTTTCTTTTTTTCTTTTTCCTTTTGGAGTAGTTAAATACTATGATGGTTCCACTGCTTTATTATTTGGTCTGTTATTCAGCAATATTAAAGTTTCTTTTTTATTTTTCAAATGAAGTGTTATATGTTATGCAAGTAAAAAAAATTAAAAAAAAATCTTTCTGGTGTAAAAGATGAGAAGATTTTCGTGCTAAAGTAGGGTTTGGGCAGATTAGATAAAATTTTAAACACTCATTTTCTCACACCATTCTTTCAATACATAATTGAATGGTTTTGATTGCCCAAAAAAAAAAAGACTGGTTTTGAAAAATATTGGCATATTGAAATAGATGCGTGATGCTATTGTTACATAATATTAATATGGCAGAGGCTGTCTTGTTTGTTGTTTTCTCAAAACTTGTGCGTGAGATTTATATTTTCCACAATTTTGAGATTATGGGCTTGCTTGAAATTGTTTTTGTTCTATTGTTTTGAGAACTGGTATTTTGTAAAACATATTCTAAGGGAAAAAGAAAATGAAAACAGGTGTTTTTTGCATTTTTTCTTGCTCTTTAGAACAATAATCTCAAAACACTTAAAAAGTGTTTCCGTTTTTCTATTTTCTAGAACAATAGTTAGTTTTTTTATTCTTCAAAATGCTTTTTAAAATCACGTTATCAAACAATTTTATTTTTATTTTTTTGTTCTAGAGAATAGAATACTGTTCCTAGAACATATTGCCAAATGAGCCTTGTATTTTGGTATCACCTTCATTTACTAATTAATTAAATCAGGAGATGGAATATGCTGTGGACTTTTAAATGCTTATCATTGCAAGACTTATTAATGGCAACATGCTTCTTTTGCTGTGGATTCCTGTACTTGTGATAGTGTTTTACTAAAAATGTTATTATATTCCTGAATTATTAAATTCCACCATGATGTGCAAAGAAAGGGTATTGGGTTTTTCACTCATGGCTAATTTTATTTGCTTTTGAAGGAAACATCAAATAAAGATTTGTCAACATTAGCCAAGGGAGTATTTGAATTGCTTAAATGGAGTGTTTTCCGGCAACCTCACCTCCAAAAGGTTGTCTCAGTGATTTTATCTGCTGCAAATGATTCCAACTGGCGAACTAGATCTGCTACATTGACATATCTTCGTACTTTCATGTATAGGTATGATAATTTTGTGAGAGTTTGCTTTGTCAGGGCAGATTTTTCAGATTTTATATAGCTGCTTTGTGCTTATGGATATCTAGCTTCAGGTGTAAAAATCCTTACAAGTCATGTCACTTACATCCATGCTTTGAAATATGAACAACTTGTACTTGATAGTTAGTTTTGTTGACTGATAATTATTTTCACTCGTATAACAGGCACACTTTCATTCTCCCGAGTTCAATGAAACGGGATATTTGGAGAACTGTAGAGAAATTGCTTGTAGACAACCAAGTTGAGGCAAGCACTTAGCACAAAACCTATATGAATGGCAATGTAGAGTAGTTGGTGCTATCCCTTGTTTAGTTAGCTTGCCCCTTCTTTTTTTGAGAACCAGGTTGTGGAAAAGATCAATATCATCCACCTAATCTTCTCCGATGACTTATGTTTGAGAGTGCTTAAACTTTAACTATTTTGTTCGTCACTACCAGTATGTGTGTGGTTCCTCATGGTTACAGAATATAATCTTGCATATAAGTAATGGACACCATATCTTGACTTATGCTGTGTGCCTTACTGCTGTTTTCCGTCTCTATTAGATTTTAAAGAGTGGTATTATTTATATCTTATTTTGGAAAACTTGATCCCCTGTCTAGGTAAGAGAGCACGCAGCAGCAGTCTTAGCAGGCTTATTGAAGGGTGGAGATGAAGATCTAGCTAAAGATTTCCGTGATCGAGCTTATGTTGAAGCAAATGTTTTACAAAAGAAAAGAAGGATGAGGTTGTCCTTTTCTCCCTTTGTTCTGGGATGTGGAGTTATGATGTCTAAGAATTATGGGCCTATGAAAAATCAGTGCTGGCTTGTTGTCTTTGAATTCAATATGTTATCTCTTTTGCATGGTCTTGTGAAATTATCTGTAATCCTAGCTGTGGGCCTTCAAGAAAAACTATTAGGTAGTGTTTGGATTGGAAATTTAGATTTAAAATCTCACATTGCAAATCCGTGTATTTAAAATTATTTGTTTGAGTAATTTAAATAACAAAAGTTAATTTAAATAACAAAAGTTATTACTATTAGGTAGTGTTTCGAGAGTGTATATGGAGATTTGAAATAATAAGGTTGTTTAGAAAGGGTTTCAAATTATGAAGAAATTAAAATAAAATTTGGATTTCCATAAATTTTTGAGTGTCCAAATAAGGGATTTGGCCCAAATCCAAATCCAGATGTATCTAAACATAGCAGTAAGGAAAATGCATTATTTGACTTTCTCTGCATGGAGACGCTGTGGGGTTCACTTTTAATCTCTTGGCGTTTATGACATGGAAGATGATAGCATCTGCAGTATTTCTGTCCTTTAGATGCCTCAAGTAACATATATTAACTGATTGAATAGCTCTTATGACCTTGTCTTAATTGGTCATGTATTTAGTTCTATTTCTTTGTAATTTATGTCCTGTTTAAGTATTTTGGAAATTTTCTGTTGCAGAAATGCAAGCTCTGGTTCATCAGTAGCATCAGTTCATGGTGCTGTACTAGCATTGGCAGCTTCTGTTTTATCAGCCCCTTATGATGTGCCCAGGTTTGTTCTGTTGAAGGAAATAATATCCTAATATAAGTTAGCTTTTTTAAAGACGTTGGAAGGAAAAAGTTACATATTCACCCATCATTTTCTCTCTCTCGCCCAATCCGTTTTTCTTTTGCTGTTATCTTACTTCAACTAATTCGTTTCAGCTGGTTGCCTGAGCACGTTACATTGCTGGCTCGCTTTAGTGGGGAGCCATCTCCTGTGAAATCTGCTGTAACAAAAGCAGTTGCAGAGTTCAGGCGGACTCATGCAGATACTTGGAATGTTCAGAAAGAATCATTTACTGAAGAACAACTTGAGGTAACTTTTTAAAGAACCAATCATATTTCTTCCTGTGACTCATGAAATTTAATTATTACTTACTGTTTATTTTCAAAGATTCTTCTGATTTATATATTTTATTACTGGCAGATTCTGGCAGATACATCCTCATCATCATCGTATTTCGCTTAATCCAATATTAGCAAGAAGTGGTTAAAAGAGTACTGAAAATATAGGATACAAAGTATGTTTTCCAAATTTTTTGTGTATTTTTAGTTTGTAAAAATAGCCATTATCTACATTTGTATCATTGATCATCTTCATAGGCAGCTTATTCTTTATTTCTGATGTTGGACTTTTTTCCCTTGTGTGTTCTGTGATCTTTCTTATACCATGGGATCAATTAGATCTTCTGACGGTAAATCCCACAGAACACACTGCGCGTTGAATAAATTGGATCTATTTCTAATTTCTTTTGCAGTGTTAGAATCATCTCCATTTTCTTCCTGAAGTTTTTCATGTAACTGGCCTTGTTGATCCATGGCTGTGCATGTACTTCCGGTACGCACACTTTGGCTCCATGGCGATCCATCCCCTTCGTTGGCAAACGACACCGGACTAAATTGAAACCCAGGCACTGTAGGGAAGACACTGCAAGTCCCCTCAAAATTAGCAGATGTGGCTGCAGTGCAGTCCCAAGGTTTATTTGAGGTTATCATTTCAGGTTCTTGCATAGCCTTGGATAACCCAAACTTAATCTTCTCAGTAGTGTCATCCTTCTCATCAGGTTTATAGTTAATTAAAGAGGCCATGTTATTCCCCATTTCTGCAGTGGGGTGTTGAGCCTGGTAGTTAATCTTCTTCTTAGTAAGAAGATGAAGCACCTCATCTTTGAAGCAGCCCAGTGCTGCTTCAGCAAGGTGAGCTGCCTGTGGGGGTGCCAATGTTGTTGCAATTTCAGCCATCAGGTGGGAGAATGGCTTGTGGGTCACAGGGTCGATCCCCATCCCTGAAAGTTTCTTCTTCAGCTTGGTGTTCCAGTGGTTCTTGACGTCATTATCAGTGCGGCCTGGCAGCTGAGCTGCTATCAGAGACCATCTGAAAATTCATTAAGCCGTTCTGTTAGCATTTATTCATCTTTTTGGGGCTATTTAGCATATATTCGTTCTAGTGTTAAAAGATTAAACGTGACCCCTTGAGCTACCAGAACCTATTGGATGCAACATAGATTTTTATGGCTTGAAAGGTGCTAGGCATAAACATGGTTCTATTCTCCAGTATAGCGGAAGTTTCATTATGGCCCTTCTGCTTTTGGATGAATTGATGTTGTCAATCAATTTTCAATATGTTGCAATAAATGTCTTGTGTTCTGTCGCATTTTGTACATGCGAGAATGCGAATTAACTCGCAGTGTCTGGTCGTGAAGTGAAATTGAACACAAGGCAGGTGGTCTCCTTTTCCAATCTCTTCCTCTGCCCTGTGCAAGTTCACTTTATGAACTGTCATATAACCCGTCCACGGGTACTAATGGAAAACAAATTCCCGAGTTCATGGTGTTTCTGGGGACAACATGAACGTGAGAATACAGGCATCTAATAATACCGTGTTACAAAATTGAAGGACAAGATTGTTTCATTTAAGTAGAGACCAAAAATCTCCTTGGTTTGGATGGGGATTAAAATGAAAAGGAAAGAATATTAGAAGGGGAAGTGGCCAAAAATAGTATTAAAAAAAAAGGTATTATTTTGGCAGTTTTTTGTCCTAGTATTCTTTTCCCTTTATTTTCCTCCATACAAGCGTTAGAGTTGCATGATAGTCAAATAGAGGTCAAAGACGGGGGTGATGTACCGGTTGCCAAAAACAGAGTGAAGCTTCACAATGGTTTGCTCTTCTGCATCTGAGAATTGACCATGCTTGAGATCAGGACGAAGGTAATTAGTCCACCTTAGCCTGCAGCTCTTGCCACACCTCTGGAGGCCTTCATCAGAGCCAAAATACAGTGAGTTTCATTGTAGACATCAGTAAGAACAAGACATGATGCTAGAGGCAAGACAAGACTACAAACCAGCATTCTTAGGAATGAGGCGCCAATTCCTGGTGCCATGTTGAGCAATGTAGGAAGAGAGCTTGTTATCTTCCTCAGGTGTCCACTGTCCTCTTTTAACGTTATCCTTCTCGCAGCATGGAATACGACCCATATCTCTCTACCTTTTTTTTCAATTCAAATTTTCTCTTTCTGCTTGCTTGCTTGCTTCAGTATTTGAATTGTTTGAGGGAAAAAGAAAAGGCGAGGAGTATTTGTTGGGGTTTGTTTTTTAGGCTTATATTTGGGGTTTGGTCTGTTATACCTTTATATATGGAGTGAATGTACATGGGTGAAGAGAAGAGAGGAGCATCAAAGAGGCATGAGGAGATTAAAGAATTCAACGCTGTTGAGAGCGTGTGTTTGTGAGGCAGGTAGCTCACCCACAAGATGCCTGGTCAACCCTCGCCCCGTTGACTCTCTCTCTCTCTCTCTCTCTCTCTGCTTTCTTCTTCCCGCACCAAGCCATAGATCTTCCTTCACGTGCACCTATCTTGTTATCTTCCTTCAGGCAATTTTCTGTTCTGATGCCTTTCCGTTTTGGTTTGGGTAAACTAAATGCAGCTCATTACTCCCATTTACGCCAAACGTTGAGACAGCATGTGTCATTGAGCTTCTCAAAAAACCCGAAGGCGAGAGAAGATTTTACTATTTTCTTATAGATTGAAATCGTTGATCTTAAAAATTTGTCTGGTTTTGCAAAATTTAATTGAGATATATAATGTATCATAATTTTGATGTGAAATTCTGCAAAAACATGTACAAAGACTTGAAATTGATAATTTAAATATTTAATAGATAAAATGGTCTTCCATGGGACAAGAACGGATGAAGTTGATGCATTCCCAAAGTAGACAACCGTATGAACAATGTGTATAAAAATGCACTATACTATGGTTTGTAGAGAGGATAATTGGTGCTCATGACAACAAAATCTGTAGTATTTAGCATTCTTAAAATTTTCTGTTACTTCATTTTCCCAAATGAATTAAGTTTCGAAGCTCGTTCAAGGTATTCAATGACATTTGAAAATGTTGGAATTGTTTTGTATGCTAATTTATCTCTCAATTGTCCTATATTAACTTGAATCTAATCAATTCATATAGAACAAATGTGTCCTAAATTCTTTTGTATACTAATTTATCTCTCTATACCGTTTTTCTTCACGGTCCTATGTTGACTTTAATCTAATCGATTCATATTATATGTTAATAGAACAAATGTATCCTAAATTATTATTCTCAATTGACATTCGTATTTTTTCATTTAAAAGTTAAAACTAGTAACAAAGAGGTGGCATTCTCCAAGCAAATGGATTGATAAAACTATTTCAAACGTTCATTGTACTATTATAAAGAAAACATGTCAAAAAGATTGCACAAATAATATTAATCAATTTGACAATTTGCTCTTTCTTTTTATTTCTTCCTATTAATAATCAAAAGCCAAACCACATTACAAAGAAGTTCTGTAGTAGAACTAAAACTTTTCCTCAATTTGCACTCTTTACAAGAAATCTAGCCACCAGACTACAACATATTCTTCCTTCTTTCTCATTCTTGGGGTCATTCCTCTTCTTAATGTTTGTTACCATTTACTTATAAACATTACGTGTGTAATGCTTTTTATTGATTAACATGGTAACAAATCCTTTACCTCAATCTGTGTCCAGAGCACAATAAATCTTCTTCAGCTAAGTTTCTGGCTTATGATTCCTTCAAGAGACCCAATAAGACCTACCACTGTAACAAGAAAGCAAACGAAGCTAAAACTTCTGAGCACAATCCATTTTCTGCTCCAAGCTTCAATTTTCTGCTGTACAAAGTACATCTCCACTGGGAAATATATAGCCAGTGGCCAAAAGCTCATTGCCCCTAACACTCCCAGAACTTGGTTGAAGTAAGGAAAGAGGATTCCAAGCCCTGTGGTTGAAATCACATACACTGTTCTAAACACAAACTTGAAAGTATTTATCTGGAAACTCGGCAACAGAGGCAGTTTCAGCTTGTAGAAGTCATTCACAAACCCACTGTCTGGGAATTTTCTTGAACACCATCTTTCTGCAGAACTGAATATGGGTTGACTGTAAATCTGCAGTAAAAAGAATCATAAGTTATGAAGAGTCAGATAACATGATATTAAATTAAACACAGTGAATACTATAGCAGCAGCAGTACCTGATATCCTCCTATCAAATGGAGAATAATGCAAGCATTAGCAAAGTCAATGAGCCAGTAAGGCTCATAGAAGCCAAAGCCTGTCAAGAGGTTTCCCGGTGTGTTGTTTCCAAATGCTGCGTATCCAAAGCATCCACAACAAAGGTAGAAGAATGTTGTGATGAAGATTGCAATCATGGATGCTTTCTTCATGGTCTGGTTTTCTGGTGGAGGAGACTCCAATGTATCCTTCACTCAAAGAAAAAAAGGAAACAAAAAATAATGCTTCAGTTTAGCTTTAAACTGGGTTTCTTCTTCTTTTCACCATGATTGGGATATGAGAGTTACCTGTATCTCTAGAAGAATGACTGAGTATGGATAGGCAAAAGCTATGTCACCAAGTGCTTGAAAGACTAACCACAGCTTCTCAGCAATATTCCTTGCAGGTACTCCTGTTAAGCTCCCCATAATTCTCCCATTTTCTGCAATATCAGCCATAACATATAAAATCTTGATTTCCAATAATTTTTTTTTTTCACTCATTGTTTCATGAATATGGTCACTACACTCTTCTTTTTCTCAAGTCAGTAGATTTTATTTTCAAAGACTATTACTTTAAGTGAAAACTTGAAGTAAATAACTGAAAGACTACATATAATTATATGATAATCTGTTAGACTGCAGGTATACCCTCTTTAATAAAGCATAAGCCTATCATTCTTTAATACCACGCTAAGAATTATTGAAGCTCGAGTGTTTAAATTATTAAATGAAGACAAGGCTTTATATTATTACATCAGCATCTTAATATTGAAGCTTACCTATAACTGTACCAATGCCAAGTCCTAGTCCAATGAAGGAGTATGTGAAGGACATTATTGCAGCCACAATCGAAACCCATGCCATGTTGTGGAGATCTGGTATGAATGACATGATGATCTGAATAAGTCCAAATAGAACCATAAACAAGGTATCCCCATAATTGCAAGGAGCCTTGTGCCCTTCCTTGTGATAACAGTTTGATTTTAGAATTGCCCTGCATCAGAAGATCAAACATGTGTCATTAAAACATCAGCAACACAGCCTCTCTATCAGCATCACCTATGAAACATCAGTACACTACACTTCAAATTGTACTTCAACGTTACATATTTTGCTGCTGTATTGTGTATTCTTGCAAGTGTTGAAGTTAATTGTTCATGAAGCAGAAGATTAATTAGTTAGCATTTTCAATTTTCTTATTTTATGAGGGGTTTACCAAGTGAAATACCTTAAACAGGTTGCTGTGGTAATTACATAAGCAACACAGGTCCCATACAAGGTCAGAAATTGAAGCAAACCAGCCACCCATCTCCTTTTATTTCCTGAACTAACACTAAATTCAATCAGAAGGTATAAACATGACACAACATCGTGTTCAACAAATGTTTGATACTTGTATCGGACACGACACCACACCTGAAACTGCACTTAAGCAATACATATTTTATGGTCATGTCGTATCTGAATTAGTGTTTGTGCCTTTTAAATAGACAAGAAGAATGGTAGAGATGGTGTGTTAGTAGTACCAAGGTAGACTTTAACAGCTCCAATGTAAGAGTAGTTTCTTTTGCCAGATTTAGAATCTGACGTTCTGTAACAATCAGAGACGAGGAAGGAGGAAATGTATGTGACAATTGCAAATAAAAGCAAAGCAACTGGACCAGCAATCCATCCTAATTGGGAAGTGCTCCATGCCAATGAAAGCACACCAGAACCAATAACAGCAGTTATGATGTGCGCTACAGCACTTGTCAGTGTTCCTGGTAGTGGAATTTGAAGGATGAGATAACAGTTCAAGATTCATCAAGAAGAGGAAGAAGAAGATGAGTACATGGAAGATAATTTTTTTTAAAAAAAATTTTGTAGAGGATTTTTACCGGTTCTTTTGGCTCGCCCATCATCATCATAAGAACCACTTGCTATTTGTAGAGAGTTTTGCACAGCCATCTTTAATCCAAAATCCCAGATCAATAGAAGGCCGTGAAGTTCTTAGTCACTGCCTGTGAATCCCACAAGACGAAAACGCCTAAGCGAAGTACATTCAAGAAAAACTATGCCCTCATATAAAATATTAAAACATGAGAGCCTCAGGTACTATGCGTCGTGTCTAGTGTCAGTGTCTGAGCAGAGAAGTTGAAATCTGGAAATTGAGTATATGTTGGTGTGACTGTGTATGATTCAATACATGACCAAACAGGACTCTCAATTCTCAAATCTGAATCACCAATGAAGCTCCTCTGTGCTGTCTGGCTCAAACCTAACGCTGGGGTTCACTATAAGTAGAGAAGAAAAAGTTGCAGAGGATAAAGAAGCTGACGTAGTTGCTAATTTGAAGCTATGAAGCAAAGAATGAGGTAAGATATGATTGCTTTATAATTATTATCAGCAGACTTTGAAGACTGCTCTAGTCATCTTGATAAAAAATAATGGAGGAATCATCTACCATCTACTTTATGGGCAAGTAGTAAAATATTCAACCCTTTGGGACCAGATCTTTCAAGGCATGTGAGTGGGTATCCATACCAATTCCTCAAGTCCAAAACGAGTGTCGTGTTTTTATTTATTATATATTGTATAATATTCCGTTGGTTCTCGATAACAGTAAGCAATCAGTGTAATGTCTGTCTGTAATCAGTACGCTAGAGCATATATATAGAAGATTGAGTTGAACAAAGCAAGTCATAGAAATTAACATGTATTTGTCCTTCAAGCGTTGAAAGAATCTCAATAATTGTAGTGCGGGGAAAACACACACACACACACACACACACACATGTATATTTGTTCATATCAATAGCATCCTGTCCTGTACTGAGAAGTGTGACTGCCTGCAAGTGGTTGTATCAGCTGGTAGATAGCTAGCTTGTCCTTATCCACAAGGGTTAATCATGGCGATAAATTGAGCCGGACTCTGAGTACTCGTGAAGCCAAGTTTACGGAAGAGAATATAAATGTGAGAAATAACAAAGAGAATGTTTGGTTTCACCTGAAAAATTATTAAAATTATACTATATTATGTTTTTATTAACATCATGGTTTAGATAGTTTTCAAGGTAGAATCAAGTACTCAAATTCGTAACCCAGGCAAGAATCTGATAATGAGCCCTGATGTGGATTGTTTTGTTTTAAGTGAAGGAGATG